AACTTGTAGGGTCAGAACTGCACTCTGAAGCAGCAACTCGATTCTGTGACAATCTATTCAGCAATGGCTTACCAGTTGTAACTACAGACTTCCTGACCAAACCGTTATCGTCACACATTTCGGAGTCAGACCTCAAGTTTACATTTAGCTTATCACTGAACTTGCTTACTGGTTCACAGTTCACCTATGTATGCACCTCTTGCACACGTGTAAAACACAACCGTGTTTGTCTTGCAGCTTGCAACTTATCGGTTGAGGATGTACCACGAAAGCTGTTACACTCATTAGGTCTATATGCATTACTAGACATCATGGAGCCTTCTCGATATCCACCTCTCGGAGGCCTACTCGTCACCAATGATTGCGTTTTACCCTCAGACTGCTCTATTCTAGGGGTGAGATTCAATATACTGGCGAACTTGCTCATAGATTGATTGACGCTATCTTTTACCAGTTTCAGGATATCATCAAACTTTGGCTCGATACCCTCATCCTCCATACGGGAGCTTATCTTCACCCACTTCCTTTGCAGTCGAGTAGGTAGGCGTCTTGCTATTACTTCTAGTATAAAACTCGAGTTGAGGTCACTCATGCGATCCATCGAAATCATTCCATTCTTGTAAATTTGCAAATTATCTAAAAACTCAGTGAGTGCCTGGGAGTCATCCTGTAATTGACCACCATTACCCTTAACAGCCTCGAATAATTTCCCTACAATCATCGTAGGTCTTCCAAACCTTTGACGTAATATGCTCATAGCCTCAGCGTATCCCTCATTAGGGGGCATGAGCTTACAGTACTGTATAGCTCTTGAAGCATCTCCAGTGCAATATCTCATCAAATACATTAACTTCAATTCATCACTTAATAGAATACCACTCAACATGATCTCAAACTCCTTTACAAATTGTAAATAATCAGCTGGGTTTCCATCGAAACACCGTGGTTCAAATTTAGGGAGTTTGATGTTCCTATTATCCCTGAACGGCGAAACAGTAACATCAACCATGTCATGCTTAACATCAGACACATCGTTACAATTAACAGACAAGTCACCATGACTTACTTTCCTGTTTGCATCCAAGACACTCTGTCCCTTCTTTGACCCAGGCATTGTTGAACTTGACCCAATTCCAAAAACGTTCCAGATATTGCTTGCTCAAAGAGGACTTGACCGGCACGAGGAAAGAAGAACGGTGACTATCCAAAGTTTCACCAACTGTTTGAATCCGCCAGATCTGTTTCTATCGTCAGAAACTGTCAATCACGTCTCATAAACCGTTAATGCCGAGCTGTCGCTACGCTCGAGCCCACGCTGCTCTTCGAAGATTTCAGAAACGCTTAGTTATAACGGACGAAAAACCAAAACACCGATCTGCCGTTTGATATTTCTGTAATGTTACACTATCATATACAAGGAATAAGCGAACTAAGGTTTCTGACGATGTTTCAGTCTTCTTTCTGAACAGCGACCGATGAGACGATGACTGTCGTATTGATGCCTCCGCGAAAATTGGGGAAGTTCATTTTGAGCAAACAACCATGAATTGATCGTTCAATCTTCAACTCCATTGACAGTCGTCAATAGTCCTGACCACTGTGAGTTCCAATTGATGTAATTGTTGGTTAATCTTGTTTGTGTCCGGACATTCCACAAATTACAATCGTCAACCTGTGAAGGGTTGTAGGCGTACTGGTGTAAGTCCTGCAATTCTTCAAAGGAATTCCACCAAGACATGATCGGCGAGGTTGTTTGTACTATTTGTATATACGTGTGGTGTGTCATATCAATTGGTGGTGTTTTGGATTCATTGTGTTTACTCGTTGTTTTCGTGTCTTGTTGTTATTGCGTAATTTTGTTAAAATTTTCGTCGTGATTATTTCTGAAGTTGTTTCGAGTCTTCTACATCCATGGATGAATTGGTTGATTTTAAGGACAGCAGATGGGTCGTATACGTCGGGGAGGCTAGGCTATTGCTGAGAATGAAATGCACACGGAGATAATTGTTAGCTGCGGTCCGACACGCCGGGGAGAAAGAGTGTAAACGACTGAGGCTCGCATGCGTCACCGCTATTAGAACTGAGGCAGAATGAGTGACCAGCGATTGCAGTGGTAATTGGTAGTGAGTAGATAAGACGATGTGCGTAGAGTATCGTGAGGTGGTGGTCACATTGCATTCTGCAAGAGTCATTCTAGTAAGTGGCGATTGTGTTGCAAGATGTCAAGAGGAGGTCTCTGTCTGGAGGCGCAGGTCGTCATTGATGTGTGAGATTGTGCTGTGAGTATGCCTGTGGTGTGTTGGCTTTTCTGTTTGTTTTCCATTTCAGCTCTGTCCGTGTGACCCAGGTTCTCGCAATGGCATCCAAGTCAACGTGCATTGGTCGTGAAGGAAAAAAAGGTTGGATCCCATTTTTGCCGGGAGTGTCAATGGAGTTGAAGATTGAACGATCAATTCATGGTTGTTTGCTTAAAATCAACTTCCCCAATTTTCGCGGAGGCATCAATACGACAGTCATCGTCTCATCGGTCGTTGTTCAGAAAGAAGAGTGAAACATCGTCAGAAGTAATACAATGATTTATTATTGTAATATTTGTTTTCAGACCTTAGTTCGCCTATTCCTTTTATATGTTGGTGTAACAATGTAGAAATATCAAGCGGCAGATCGGTGTTTTGGTTTTTTCGTCCGTTATAACTAAGCGTTTCTGAAATCTTCGAAGAACAGCGTGGGCCCGAGCGTAGCGAGAGCTGGGCATTAACGGTTTATGAAACGTGATTGACACCGACCATGCACATGCTCCGTGGTTCGAGCTCACGCCGAGGCACACCTGATATTTATTGTGGGCCTGAGACATTTAAGCTACCGATATTATATGCTGAAAATTCCATACTTGTACCAAAAATACAGTGTTGAATCAAGCTGCATTCAAAAATAAAATTAAAATATTATATATGCTTCTCGAGGCCTAGTGTGATGATAATTTAATAATCGCACTGAGGAAAAATGAGGGCTATATCTCATGTGCATCTTGCAGATTTTCTTTATCCTGTTGAAATGTATAGGATGTCGAGTAACCCTTCGTATATTTGACCACATGTCACGTATCAACGAGCTTGTTAACATGATGCGCCTTCTACTACCACTGCTGCACCCTTGCTTTGTGTGTACTGTTGGTCGAATTCACTTTCAGTTAAATTGTTTTTAGCGTCCAGTTTCTATATTATAAATGCGATTGATTCAAACTGCTTTGGAATATCAGTGTTGTAGGACGGACGTATACCCACTATAAGTTTAGGCAATCAGTGTCATGCAAGATAATTAGTCTTGATCCACCCCGCAACGTGGTATTAATACGACCGAAATGAGTTGCTTTTAGTTGAATCGGTGATCATTAAGCCGTCATTCTTCATAACTTTACTCTTTAGAATCCTCAGACTGTCATAAGCAATAAACTTTTGTTAGTTTAAAGGATAAATGATCGAGGAAGTTTTACCCTTCATGTGACTATAGTAATATTCATACTCGTCATTTTACACGTAAGTGGCTTCAGTCTGCATGCCTCATCAAAACGGTAAATTTCACTAAACCACCTGTTTTTCATTTCAAAGTAATGAAAGACAAATATAGAGGGGCAGTGGGGTCGCCACAGGGACCGGTGTTTGCAGAACTTTTCGTGATAGGTCCAAAAATTAAGGCGTCACGACCCACCATGAACGGTTTCCACGGGCATCAACTATGCACAGATGATACCTCTTTGTGCGACAAGCATGCTGACATCCAAATGATAATGAAGGAGCTCACCAACTTTCTCCCTTGTTTTACGTTCATTTCAAAGGTGATTCATTTAAAATTGAACTTTTTATGCTTTATTGTAAGGAAGACCTAAACCTCCTAGTCAAACAGCAGAAAGCCAACAGAGAGCGGCCATTGTGAGAATTTTCATAGTTGATTCTCTCTAAAGACTATTTATGCAAATGGATACCCAGAAAAATTAATTTGGGAAAAAGAGTCAAAATAGAAGCCTGAAATAATCCACACGGTGTCTAACTAATTGCTGGTAATAAATGTTGAATTCGAAGGTGATAATATAGTCGAGACTCTGAAGAACCGCTTATTCACATTGTTGATAAAAGTTTTACGTATGCAAGTCCACAGAAACGTTTCTTCTGTTGGCAAACGACTAGTGGATAAATGAAGTTCCAACTGCCTTGTAAACCATTTCACTAAGCCACTGAAAAGTCGCTTTCTCCAAGGGAGCTAGTTATATTAGCCGCAGAAACCACGCACTTTTCAAACACGTGCGTTGGTGACACGCCGACCACGCACATGGCCCGAGGTTCGATCCCCTGCCGACACACACCTGATATCTATGGTCGGCCTGCAAAATTTGGGCTACTGACATCACATGCTGAAAATTCCATACTTGTGCCAAAAATACAGTGTGAAATCAGGCTGTAATCAAAAATAAAAAAATTGTGTCGCAATGAAAGTCAATTTTTAGCCCATCGAACTTACATCACGCGGCTTCACAAGAGCTACTTTTTGTACCACAAAATATATATATCAAGTTAATACAGAGAAAGTTATGTAGTGATGGCGAGTGTAGCATAGGCGCTAATGATTGATTAATTTAACCTTGAAATTTGTGTGTAGAAAGCCTCTGTTCAGTCTGTTATTACACCATGACCTTAAAACCCTTCCTGTATGCCTACTTCTATTTTGAATGAGTAATTAACTGTTCTTTGATTGCGAACTAACTAGTGTCACTGATCTAGTCCTTTATTTGCTGTAGACTCAACCCTGACAGTCAAAATTGCTACGTGGCCACCATGCTAGTCGGCTCGCCGTGACTTTGACCTCAGAAACTGTTGCTATTAGATGGAATCTTTGGACCTAGATTTCGTGCTTCCTGGCACTCACCAGTCATCACAGAGTGTCTGTAACCTTGAAGGATCTAATGTCTCTTCTGAGAGGGTACAGTGGTTACATACCATTGTACAATGTTAAATATACCGCGCCTTATTCAAAGCGTACGTTACAAGTGGGTGTTTTTTTCACGTGTTGTGGTTTTAGATCCTCACAAACTTTAAGCAACTGAAAATGAGGAATAGTTATGCATTAATCAACCACATAAATACTTTATATTATAGTATTTTATAGTATCTGCCTTCTCCAAGCCCAGAAAAGCCAGCTACCTAGACATGATTTTATTTGGAATGACCTTTCATGGCACTCCTTGGAACTAATGGGTTCTTTAAGGTAGCATTTTAAAAGATTTTAGCTTTAGCTGCGACACTTTAAGTTTGCTATACCAGATATCAAGCAGGCGTCAGGCTAGTTATGTGTAGACTGAATAAAGCTTATCAGTGTTATTATTCCCTATACAAATCCCAGTTATCTCATTGTATTTTGACAGTAATAAACATAAAAGTCCATGCCTGAATGTTCTTTTGGACCAATAAGAGAGACTTCAAAAAGGTGGCGTTGCTCCCACTGATCAAGAATACATCCAAGATCCCCCTTAACAATTCCCAAATAAACACTGGGGTATCGGGGAGTTTCGTTGAATTATAGATCTGCTTCAAATATTCTGTCATTTGAATAGGAGAAAGCCATATCCCAGCTTAAAATACCGTCAAAAATATTCACCTAACTTAGATGCGAACCGAATTCGGCTACTATGTTCCTTTGTAGTTTTCTCATAAAGTTTTTAGTGTAACGAAAGCATGACAGAAATAAGGGCTTCGTTTAAGAACAAAAGGCTTCAGATGTTTATTAAATTATTTTCTAATAAGCATCTGAGCTTGTCTAATCCATTCTTCAACGAATCGAATTAGTGGTTGGACGCGATGTTTTGTTGAGAGAACCAGTACTCGACAAACATATAATCCCTCTTCGGCGTTTGAAATTTTGAGTTTATTCTGACTTGGTAGGAAGGTAAAGTAAAAACAGATAAGTTATTTTTTAGAATTTTCGATGTTGTAATGAGATCTCATTGCTTACGTTATAATAAAGGGTTTAAATCTAAGTTGTCAAGTCTTTCTGTGTGGGGTAAATTGGTCTTACAGAGAATCATACGCGTGGGGAGCATTCATTATTTAGGTTTTCTTGCAACGGTCATGACTCTGTCACTCTTTAGGTCACTCTAGATTTTTGGACCATTTGCGTAGGTAGATTTAATAACTTTAGACATTTCGTCGATAAACAGGGTTAATTAAAGGGGGTTGGGTGCGGTGCTTTGGGCTACACAGCAACGTACCTCTATTCAGGATGAAAGTTTGGGTCGTGTTTTCTATCTCCAAGTTACGTGGAATTCCTTGATCCAGCTTAGCAGGCTGCCCCCTTTCATTCCGAAACTTTCCAATTTTCTGAGCAGTCTTGTGTGCGGTGATTTGTTAAAATCTTTTCTAAAATCTATGGAAACCTTGATGAGTTCCTTGTTTTCCGCAGTTGCTTCCCAGGTTTCCCTTGCTGTAAGAAGGCTTGTTAGACGCAAGAAGTTTCTTGAGAGACCATTTGTAGCGCCGGGTAACAATTTGCTGCTCTATTGAGCTGGTCGATTTAACTGCTAAGCTTTCGTCGTCCTTCTGGATAACATTTTCAACGCCGCATGTTATAGTGTAAAATGAACTCATTTGAATTCTCTCCCTATGAATGATGTAATTGTATCTCTTGGTAACCATCTTCCTGACTGGTAGTTGATTTACATCTCTACTGATCATTTTTATTGACTTAGAATTTGAACTTTCTTGTCACGTGATTTACTTTTTTATGGGCTGGTGAATTTCGTCTATATTAATGCTTGTTAAGCGCTGGCTGATTCACTTGAGTACCAGGAGATGGTTAGGACATGTGTTACGTATGCCAAGCCATCGCCTCCCTCGACGAGCAATGTTAGCGGATATAGGGTCAGGCTGGAAAAAAGCTAGCGGCGGTCAAACAAAAACTTGGCCTCACCAGTCAATGAAATCCACAACAGTTGGTCTAAGCCACGTAGAAAGGTGTAGACTTCCAGGCTGGGGTCCTCGGGACGGTAAAAATCTATGGTTGAAAACAATTGGTGACATGGCTCAAAATCGTTCTCAGTGGCGCAGATGCATCCAATCTTTGTGACTTATGATCTCCAATGAAATTGTTTTGTTCTTCGTTATTACTCCTTTGTCTCACCCCTCTGCTCACAGTTTCTATTATGCTTTTCTTATACTTTCTTCTCTTGCTTCGCGTGCTACACAGAGTGTGGCGACTTGAACTTCCGCACATTTGTGCAAAGTTCTATGTCGAAAACAGACAGACAGACAGACCAGGCTTCTAGGAATTCTCTGGCACTTTTGGCGTCCCTTCTGTTTAAAATTTCTACATTATCCCAATCAAATTAGTGTTCATAGTTATCTACATGCATTGATATTAAAGAATACATATAATATCTTTATCACACCCAGCTTGTGATCTTAGATTCGACCCAATCAATATCTTATACTCGGCATTGTATGATATCATGCAATTGACCATTGAGTATAACTGTCTGTACATATCGTACAGTCTAACTAGATAATGTTTGGTACTGATCTGTCAGCTGAAGAGAGCAAAGTCACTTTGCTATTGCTGATTTTAGATGCCAGATAGGTCTCAGAGATGGCAAATTTTTGAATCAAGTGGATTTATTAACTCTTTTGTGTTTAAGTTTTAGAAAAGCGTTTTTACTTGACCGGTCTTCTTGAACGTAGTATACGCTCATAAACTCATCACTTAATGCTATAGGAGGAGACAAAGATCTATCTATCCATAAAATCTCTGATGGTTAGTTTAAGCCAGTCATGTAGGAAGGTGTACACTGTCTGGCCATGGTACTAGAGATTGTCAAAATCAATGAAGACTGGAGATGCTTGTTGATATGGCTCAGTAGCGCAGAAGCATTTATTCTCTGTATACTCCTGTATCTATCACACCCTATTGTTTTCTAATGTCACTATTCTTTCTTTCACATTTCTGCGCATTACCGTTTCTTTTTGAGTCTCTTTTTCTGTCTTTTCCTTTGAGTGATACGTAGAGTGTGGCAACTTGAACTCCTATGCTAAGTTCCAATTTGAAATCGATCAGGGATTCACTTGCAGTCAGACTATTACAAAGTGTTGACATGAAGAGACATTTTATCATTTAAATAAACATGTTATAATTTAGAACAACACATTTAAGAGCGAACGAAATTGTGCTTTCCATTAGATCTCATCATCAGGTTTTACTTCAATATGCCTACATAACTTTGCAAATAAAAATTCAAATATAAACCATACAGGATGTTTTGTCTATAGAATAATAAAATTGTGCGTATAAATTTTGAAATTAGTCATAGTAGTAGTAATGATAATAATAATAGTTTTATCAATAATAATGATGAAAAAGTGAGGCGATCTGTGATAACAAGAATAACGAAAAACGACATGATTAAACAAGCAAATGTTCACGTGGACGTAGTAGTCGATAAAGGCTAAGAAAAACAAATGGTCCGATTACGTAATGCTAGGTTGTATGGGAAGTAAATGAAACACGTTTATATTGAAGACGTGATAAGAGGTTGGGGTTTAAAATATAAGTAAGGGGTGGTGGGAGTAATATCATCAATTGGTTAGACATTAATAGGCCAACAAGGAAGGGATAACGGCTTTACGAACTTCCTTTGAATGCATAGTTTAGGTTTAATAGTTCAAATGTCTATCGCCTCAGTTGTGTGCAGTAGACGAATACAAAGTCTGCAATTAGTAGTGTTCTCTGAGCTGGTTGGTTTAGTTGCGGAGCTTTTGTCTTCCTTCACCATCTTCAGTGCTATTTTTAGCATAAAATGAACTGATTTAAATTTTTGACGAGTGATAGAATTACGTCTCCTGGTAACCATCTTTACATATGTATTGACCATTTTCTATTGACTTGGGTTTTAAACTTTCTCGTCACATGATTTACTTTTTATGAGTTCATATATGTGGTCTATATTAACATGTTTGTTAATCACTGGCTGACTCACTTGATTACTAGGCTTCTAGGGGTCCCCTGACTGCACTTTTGGTGTTTCTCCTGTCTGAAATTTCAACATTATCCCAATCAAACTGATTTCCATAATTATCTGCATGCATTTATATGAAACAGGAATATATATCATGTTTTTTCACGGCTGATTTGTGTTCCTGGATTCTGATTCGAAGGGGACACTCACTTTGGCCGATGTAATGTCTGTTACAGTTCATACATGCAATTTATTTTGTAAATGGTATTAATTTTATCTCCTTTTTCTATTGGATCTTTCGGTTTACTTACTTACTTTACTTCGGCTATCTCCTACGGGAGGATGAACCGGCTTCATGAACATCTCGAATGTTTGTAAGAGAGTTGATGAAGTTTCATGGGAATTGGGTACGAGTGATGTCCCCAGAATCGCTCGGCCTTTTGTTTCAGAGTGCAGCTCTAGCCTTTACACAACCAAGTGTGACCTACAAGGCAGTAGGAGTGGAGTAGGGAGTCCACTATCCATTGTCAGCCGGTGACCGGAGTCCGGTTCATACGCCTTTTTGAATGGGGCCAGACATCCAGGGCATCCAATAAGCCCTTTGTCCATACGTCTGCCGGTGAGCTCCGATGAGCTTCATACGCCAGTCGTTGGAGGTTTGGAATCAGGGTTTAGCCATCTCCCCTAGACTGTCATCCAATGGACAGTCAACCCGGTGAAGAGCGCCGGGTATCCGCTTTTGCCCTCTCACTTCGGTGAAAAACACCTCCGCCACGTGAAGGCAGTGAGTAGGACTTCCTCAGGGAGGCTATGTAAGACGCACGGTCATATGGGAGCATTTCAATAGGTGTACGGAGGGGTGGCTAGCCCGCAGCGCAAGACACCCACCCCCGACCATCCTGAGGCTTTGGTTTAGATAATATCGAATTAAGCGATTTAACCGGCTTGTGTGCTATATGTATACCAAACGGTTTAAGTATTCTAGCTGTTATTTCAGAGATATTTTTCATGTTTGGTTGGATGAATTTTCTTGTA